TTTCAGATGGGCTGTTTTAATTAACAACCCTTTATCTCCAGTGCTGCAGCATTAGGAGTTACTGGAGGCCTCCAGCATTAACAAGAGGAAATTCCTTCTTTTTATCCTGTGCAGAAGTGTTGTGCAGAAGTGCTGTTCTGTCTCTTCCCCCAGCAGCCTTGAACATCCTTCCCCTTCCATCCTCCCTTTCCTGAGTCAGCACCAAATACAGGGCTTGTGCTGATGTGGCTGTTCTGCTTCTGGAGTGGGAGGGAATTGAGTAGGTGCAAGCATCCTATATTTGTGTTGGATGTGCATCATTTGTCTGTTCTTCTCACTCCTCCTATTCTCTGTTCCTTCCAGTGATGTTTTGCTGTATTAATTCACCTTTCGTCAGTGACTGAGGTCTTTTAGGGAACAGGGAAAACAATCCCTGTCAACACAATTTCTCTTTGTTTTGCAAAGGGATGGGATTAAGTACAGTGACTGGGATGTGCTTCTTGTTGAGTATTTTCTGAGAACATGGTTGAATTTTCATTGTGTGAACAAAACATCAACCAGGAGGTTTTGATTTAGCATTCTAATTCAATAGATATGGTGGACTGTGGTTTCTAAATATGTGAACTTCAATCAAAAGGCAGATTAAAAATTGATGGTTGCTATAGTATTTTTTCCATGAGTCATGATCTTGTAAAAAACCCAAAAATATCTGTAGAACCTAATATTCTTGGAAGACACTCTCAACCTGTTTTCTCTTTTTCAAAAGGGCTCTCCAATAAAGAGTTTGGATTTTATTTGGCCTATTTTTCCTCATTTTACAAAAAAATCCTGCTTTTACATGTGTTTCATAATACACACGATACATGCAATGACTGGAAATAAATTAAAATTTTTCGTCTTTACCTATGATCAAATATATATGGTTCTTTACTGAGTTCAGCAGAGTCCTGACTACTGGCTAGTTCTGAGGCACTTGACTTGAATTTACGTTTGCATCGAAAGTAAGAGTACCTAGAAAACTCAAAAAAAGTGAGCTGCAGTGATAAATAGGACCACTGGGGGCTGCTAGTGCTTAAGGGTTAAAGTCTGGACTCAGCGCAAATCGGCACCTTGGTTGTGAGAGGTCCCCTGGGGACTTGTGCGTGGCTGGCAAATTTCTGAACCTACAGATAATAGTAATTCAGTGACCAAAGTTCAGTGTCTTAATCCTAAAACATCAGTAGTAATCATAAATCTTACCTCTGGGATCACCTGAGAGGGAGACAAAAATATGAAGGTGGAGAAAGCAATTCAAAGAAAGAATGAAACAAAGAACAGAAAGAATAAAATCTACCTTGCTCACTTTTCTGGGTGTTTAGAAAACGGCCACAGGCATTTATCTCTAATGTTTAGAGTAAAATGTGTGGAAATAAGAGAAAAAAAATAATCTTGGCAAAGAACTGTAAGAGATTAAAAAAAAATAGAGCTCATGGGAAGATCTGAATAGCTGGGATATCCTTTCTTTCCATTGTCTAAACAAAGAGAGGTGAATTAAATTAAGATTCAGGATTTTTAGATTCATGAATGGTTCCATTGATTTGTCATGTACAGATAGTAAGATAGGAGTCCCAAGTAAACATCAGAGCTTTATGAAAGGAAGAACGAGGTACATTTGCTAAAAGGGTATCATAGAATCACAGAATGGTTTGGGTTGGAAGGGACCTTAAAGACCACCTAGTTCCAATCCCTCTGCCATGGGCAGGGACACCTCCCACTAGATCAGGTTGCATCTGTGCAAATGTGAAAGGCTGGGGGCATCACAGCTTATTGCAACCTCAAGAAGCTGTTGTTAGAAACCAAATGAAGATCACTAAGCAGCCTCAGTGCACCTTCAACATAAGGAAATCAACAGAGGGATAAGATCTTGATAGTGATAAACTGCTAAAGCAGGTAGAAACAGTGGACAGCACCAAAATCAGTTCTCTACTTTCT